AGGATTATTCTCAAGCCTTAAAACTGAATGGAATTGGTCCCACTAGGACTTAGACTTGCTTAGGACAAACCACCTCCTTCTTTCTTGACATTTCTCCCTTCTGGAATGTGTCTCTCCTGTGTTTCTCATGCCAATGCATTTTGGAAGCATAGAACTTGTTTGCTTTCACAGGTTCACATCTAGAGGGGAATTTTGCCCCCAGATGAATCTCATACCGGGAGTCTCACCCATTCCTGATGTACAAACTCTTTAGATGAAATCTTAGGACTTGAGACTTTAATGTCAATGCTGGAATAAGTTAAAACTTCTGAGACTGATGAAATGAATGTGTTTTGCCATGCAAGAAGAAAATGGCTTGGAGAAAGGGGCAAAGTGGTACAGAATGGATGTTTGGGTCCCCCAAAATCATATGCTGAGCCCGAATCATCAATATGGCTGTTTTTGGAGGTGAGACCTCTAAGGGAAGTAGCTATAAGTTAAATGAGATCATCAGAGTGGGTCTTTGTTGTCCTTAAAAGAAAAGACAGATACTGATAAGCTTGCTCTTGTTGCATTCAAAAAAAGGAAGCCGTGGGAGCACACAGCAATGAGACCCATCTTGCCAACACCTTGATCTGGGGCTGTCAGCCTTTGGAACTGTGAGAAAATAAACTTCTGTTGTTTAAAGCCACACAATCTGTAATCTATGGCCATTTGAGCCGAAAAAGACTATTAAAGTTGGGGGGGGGGGAAAGGTTGAGAATATGAATGAAAAACATTTTCCAGATTTTTTTCCCTGACACTTCTGCCCTTTAGACAGTCACTTCCTGTCTAAAGTTCACCCCTGATCATTTCACGGGTTCACACACTCAGCCCTCTATTCCAGTTTTGTGCCCTGACTGGTGTCATCTGGGATCACTCACAGTGCCAGGGCGGGGCTGAGAAAGTGCAACACCAAGGTGAGCCGTGTCCCCAACCAGGAGTGCAACATTAAGTTGAGATTGTATCATGAAAGCTGGAAATGGTTAGAAAACTATAGGAGACAAAATATTCATAAACCCCTGCATGGACATGTCCAGTGCTGTAACCACAGTGGACTGCAAAAGCCTGAGAGGACCTCCAAATGCTGAAAGTAAGAAACATTTCAGCTGAGATAGGATTTTAGAGACAAATGGAGTGAACTTGACTGATTTAGAAACAGGGTCTGGCACTAGTGGTGCACACAGATATGAGGAGGACAGAATGCCCCACCCTGGAGGGAAGCAGTCACACCAACTGGAGCTGTCCTTCCCAGGACCAAGTGTGCACCATGCAGTACCCAGCACCGTGGTCTTACAGCTGGCAGCTGCGTCCCAGGCCCCCTGGAGACAGCTGGGTTGGGGGACACTCACCAGCAAAGTCACCACGCTGCTTTGCTCAGTTTGAGGCTGTCTCTGCTCGCCAGAGGTCCTTATCACTCTCTGAAGAGCACAGCCCACCTGAAGTCCCATTGGCCTATGTGCTTTACCAAGTGGAGTGAGCCAAAAAGCCCTCATCTGTGGAAATGCTGAAATCCAAAAGGAAATGTGATTTGTTCTGCTTCAGCATTTCCTCAAATGATGCCATTAGAGAATGGCTGTGGCTCAGGGCTAATTAGTTCAGAATGGGTGCAAAGCATCCTGGGATACAGACCTGGAGGGTGTCCAGGGACCATGGGGCCTCTGTGTGCAGCGTGGCCCTTCTCAGGATGACAGTGCACATTCAGTCATGTTTCGTTAGCAATGGTACTGATCCAAACCCAGAGGAAACTAAGCACTTGAGGGGTCTCCAGAGAGTCCCGCTTTTCCTCAGTACGATCTAGTCATCATGTCAGCATGAAGGGTCTGAGTCAAATCTGTTGGGTTTAAGTTCTGTGTCTGCCACATTCGGGCCATGTAATTTGGCTCCATTGCTTCACTGATTTAAAAGGACAATATCAGTGCCTCCCTTGTGAGGATTAAATGGGGCAATGCATATGTAGGACCCAGCACTGGGCATGGCACATGTAAGTCTCTGCTATTGCTGTTTTGGTATTTCCCCATCTCTAAAGGAAGCAGAGCTGTCCTTAGGTTTCCAGAGCACAGCCAGTTAACACATACTCTCTGACATTTCTTGGTGGTTTGGGGACAGCTTATTCTGAGGGCCTTAGGGAGCCCTATCCAGCAGACACACAGTACCGTTGGACATTCTCATCACCCTTGGACATGGAGAAACTTGATTTTGTAAAAAATAATTGAAAACACCATTTAGATGGAGGAGGCCCCTTCTTGGTGAGGCCCAGGGACAATTATGAGACTCTTGTCTACTGACTGGCCCTGTGGACATTCATCCCTGACCACAACGCTGTGATCTGGACACCCAAGGAAAACAGATCAACACTTTCCTCTTCTCATTCAAATTAAGAATTAGGTTCCTCCAAACCAAGAAGTGGAAATTAACCAAATTCATGCCTCTGTGAAAAACAGCCCCTCTTTTACAGTATGAAGTAGAAGGACAAGATGCAGGGGGCAGCCCCCAAAAGACACATTGGATCTGATGACAGTGACCATATTTGGAAAATAGGTCTTTGCAGGTGTAACCAGGTTAAGAATTTTGAGATGGGCTCATCCTGGATTACCCGGGTGGGTCCTAAGTGCTTTGATAAGTGTATTTATAAGAAATGAAAAGGAAAAGACACACACATAGGGGAGAAGATCACAGGAAGACCAGCAGAAATTGGAGCAATGTGGCCCAAAGCCCAGGAATTCCTGGAGCCACCAGAAACTGGAAGAGACAGGAGGGAGCCTGTCCTGCTGCCTTGGGAGAGAGTGGGCCCTGCTGACCTGATCTTGGGCTTCAGCCTCCAAAGCTGTGAGAGAATAAATCCCTGTTGTCCAGATTTTCCCAGTGGCTCCAGGACCCAGCACACAGGGTATCTGGGGGACATAGACTGTCCTCTCTGGACCTCAGTTTTCAGGACATAAAAAACAACCTAAAGCAACCTCCAAGTCTCTACAATTTCATGTCTCTGTGGCTTCACACCAAATAGCCTGGGTGGGAGGAGCAGCCAGGGAGATCTCAAGTACACAGTGGTGCCCAAAAAGCCAGGGCTTGCTCTCTTTCCTCTCCTCCCAGCATCAAACACAGTTTGTGTGGCATCTGTCCTACATAGGGTTTCCATATTTACTTAAGGTGCATTTGAAAAGCAACAAGCACTCGCCAGCACAGCTACAGTAGTTCAGGGAAAGGCCCAAGAATCCCAGAGGATGCATCCAGAAGAGACAGCACAGGCCCTCCCTCTCTGCTGCCCACCTTTACTGCCCACTGAGGACTTGGGAGGGGAAGAAGCATCAGATTATTTTTGCAGCAGGTGGTAGCACTATTTTCACATGGATATGTTTTATTGCATAAAATGGGATTTTAAAAAACTCTTTATCTCTCTTATCTTTTTATATCAGAAATCTGTATATATCTGCTTTCATGCCTTGTACAATATCAAAATATACCTTTTAGAAATATGAAAACCCAGCCATCCCCCAAAATGAACTGCTTACCCACCTTATGGATACACTGATGGTTTGATTTGGCCACATAATGGTCTTGTCAATGCAGCAAAGACTGAGGGAAAATACATGATAAAAGTAATAGTTACAAGCATCATTTTTAGCACCTGCCAAGTGTGCGGCACTGAGCTAAGCATTTAGGGAGAACGATTCATTCACTCCTCACAAAAACACTATCAGATGGAAATAAAAAACGGGGCTCAGGGGGTTTTGAATGACTTGCCCAAGCTTAGAGGTTACAGAACCTAGACTCCTAGCAGGTTTCCCTGCTCCAAAGCCTGTGACAGTCACGCCGCTCATGTTATCCCCAGTGACAAGTCATGGGACCCCACATTTAGGCAAAGGTGATGTTTTAATCACAGGACCTGGAGTGGTTGGAGGAAGGGTGACCACAAAGCCACGCTTTCTGGGCTGTGCAGCTTTGTTGCCATTCATGCACTGCTTTTACAGAGATGTGGGCTGGCTTTAGGACAGCTCAGTATGGGAGATTCCAGCTTGGTGTGTACACTTCTGTGTGTGCATTTGTGTGTGTGTGTGCTTGTGTGCGTGCATCTATGTGTATACATGCATGTACCCGTATCTACATATGCACACCCGTGTACATGCATTGTGTATTATGGGTGCATGCATATACTTACTTGTATGTACACACGTTTTGTGTATATGCACATGCTGTGTGCAATGTGTGGTCTGTGTGTTCATGTGTACATTTGCAGGAAGGTGAGAGAAGACATTGGGACGTGAGCTGCAAAGAGCTGTTCAGCCTGGAGAGTACCCTGTGAGATGTGCCCACTAGTTAAAAACTGGTTCTGTGATACTGAGAAGAAAGTGGTGGCCAGTTGTCCAACATGTACAAATCCTCCCTCCCCTATCAGGATGCTTTCAATCAATGTCTACCTGAAAGACTACTGCTCTGAGACAGGAGATGGGGGGGAAGGAATTGAGCACCATTCCCATGCTGAAGTCTCTTGACCAGGCACAGGTCTGGATTTCTGCCATGGGTGTCACTGGGGGTTAATCACAATCAACTCCTTCCTAAGGCCATTGGGCAAAGCCATACAGACAGCAGTCACATGCATGTGACGGTAGGAGGTGCTCTGTGAGGGGCATCCCGGATGCCTGCATGGGGACAAGGCTAAGAAGGAAAGGACACAGAGCAGTTGTCCACCAGCTGCTTCTGCTCACACATCAAAGAGCCCTGGTGCTTGTGTCTTTCAGGAATTCGCAGACTCCGTGTCCCAGCTGGTCACGCAGAAGTTCCGTGAGCTGACGGTTGGCCTGACATCTGTGCATGCCCGCCACAAAGCACTAGCAGGCATCGTCATGACCAAAGGTAACCACCTCTTCCTCTCCCTGTGGAGATTTTCTTCTTCAAAGAAAGGAGTGTTCGAGTTTTCCTGACTTGGGGGCCAGCAGATCCCCTGTACCCACAGAGATATGGCAAGAAAGACAATATGGAACCAAGAAATCAGGGGCCAGCACTTACCAGCAGCACCCCACGGGCAGTAGTGGCACAACTCACCTGCCAGGGCCCATCTGCATGAGCTCCTGTCAGTCCCTTGGCTGTCAAGGCCTTGGCTGATCTGTCCCATTAGGCATGTCCCCATTTTCAAGAATGATGTTGTATTTGTAAAAGCTGGAGTCTGAGGCCAGACCAGGCCACCAAAAAAGTCACCTGAAGCTGATAGGTAAGGAGTTGGCCCATCCCTGTCAGCCCCAAAGTGCCCACAGCCAGGACCTGACGCTTCCCCTTGTGCAGATCACGTGTGTCACCATAGGTCTTGGCTCCAGGGCAAGGAGGTGGAACCCACTTGGACAAGGGAGGTGGAGGTGACCTTTCAGAAGGATGTCAATTGTCAAGGTGTCTGTTTCCCATGGCTATGGCATCTATAGGCCTGTCTGAATGCAGACTCCATGCATCAGTCCATGGTGGGCGAATAGAAGAAGGGAAAGGGGAAAGGAGGGGACATATGAGGACACCATGGAGCAGGAAACCAAGAGGGAACTTAGAGGGACAAAGGGGGACACTAGGGAATAAGGGACACAGAAAAGACACAAGGGGCTGTGGAGGAGACAAAGAGTAACACAGATAGGACATAGAGGGACACAAGGAGGACATAGAGAGAACACAGGGGGAGGGGACACAGGGGAATGGAGACCAAAAGCAGGGGTCACAGAGGATATGGGGGAAACAGAGAAGATATGGGGGAGATTCAGGGAGAGACACAGGAACAGGGGAGGCAGAGGAGACCTAGGAGGATGCAGAAGACGCAGAGGGACACAGAGTGATACACGGGGACACGGGACACAGGGGACACCAGAGGACACAGGGGGACATGGGGAGACATGGAGGAATGCACAGAGACACAGGGTCACATCGCAGAGAATCTGCCCTCTTGCTGGGGTGTAAACCTGCCCAGGAATTTCCTCCTTTCTGTCAAGTCTCCAACCCAAACTGATCCCAGAGATGGAATTCCATTCTAGAAAACAAGACTGACCCGTCCAGGGAGGTCAGCTCTTTAATAAGGTCAGGAAAATTAATCAGATTCGTGGAAATATCAAAGTACTAACCTGTAGTCATTAACCAGCTGGTTATTCAAATTAACTATTTTTATTTCCAAAGTTTTACCTGAGTTTTAATGGACTGCTAAAAAACGACTTTGGGTCGTTCAACACTCACACATGACCCTGCAGCACAGGCAGAGGCCAGGACTGAAAAGAACATGTATCTACTGTGTCCAAAGATATGCAAAATCAGTTTTAAAAATCAGATGGTTGGCACGTGTTTCCTGTCATTCTAGACCCCCGTGGGGCCTCTCCAATGAGTGAGAACATTGGAGCAGGAGCAGAGCGCTCAGGACCCTGTCTTAGCCGTGGCACAGGGCATGTTAATGATTTAGTCTTTCCAGTTCAGGCCTCTTAGTAAAATGGAACAGCAGAGCTTCCTCCCAGTGTCACTTGTTGAGAAAGACAAAGTGTATAAAATGTTCAAAAGGTGAACATTACTTTATAAATACAATGCACTGGTCTAAGCCAAAACTGTTCCGTTTTGTCAATGATAACATTGTATGTGGTGACATGCACACCACCCAGAATATTGCATTTTCTTTTTTCTTACTGGGGAAAAAAATTATATATATATATATATATATATATAATATATATATATGCCTTTTACCTGTTTGCCAAGTCATTTAGTCCCTGAATCATAGTTTCTGTGGATGGGACCTACTTCTGTCCCTGACTAATCCCTCAGAAACATCTGCCCGTAGGAGCTATGACATCTGCTTCTAGTCTAGACCCACTGTCTTCTTCAATGTCCTTCTTCTCTTCTGTTTTTTTTTTTCTTCCTTGTGTCATTGTACCCTTGGGGGGTAGAGGGGGGGAGTCCTTTTAAAAAGTGAATAGGAGATGAATTTGAGGAATAATCACATGCTTCAAGATGCCTTGAACTGGTTCTCATACTACCTTAATAGTTGCTCCACATGAGAAATTTTAAGCTCAAAATTATTTTCTCTCAGTATTTTGAAGTGTTTTTTTTTCCATTGTCTCTTATCTAATAAATCTGTTGAGAAACATTACAGATCTGACACCCTCTTTGCAGGGACCAGCACCCACCAAGGAAGGAAAGGTCTTTTTTTTAAAACTTGGGCATTTTGTAGTTTCCTAAGAATACACGTGGGTATCAGCCTTTCATCTTCCCTGACATATTCAAGCTGCTTGTGTATTTTTTTCTTGTATCAGTTCTTTGACGAATTCATTCCTTCATACACATTTTTGTTGAATTTTCAATATTCTGAACTAATCAACTAATCATCTTTTCCCTTTTTTACTTTCCGTCTCTTTGGTCTTTTGTTTTTGCAGATTTCTTTCTTTCTTTTTTTTTTT